GGTGACAGACCGGAGGATAGACGCGTAATATCCTACGCAAGCAAAAAGTTCAGCGAGACACAGACGAGGTACGCCGCGGTAGAACGCGAGTGCATAGCAGTAATCTGGGCAACGGACAAATTTCGACCATACCTAGAGTCCCGGTGTTTCCAGCTCCTAACGGACAACTTGGCACTAACGTGGTTATACAGGGCCAAAGACAAAAATTCAAAATTAACACGTTGGTCACTACAACTAGGCAATTTAGATTTTAGTACGGTACACGTCCCGGGAATACAAAACGAAGCACCAGATTTGTTATCCCGCAACCCTGCACCGGGTGCACCCGTAGACGAAGATCGCCTTGAGGAAAAATTGGTGGAGGCACCCGCAACGCCAACAACCAATGTGGACCTCGAGTTTGACCGTATCTTTTCTATGCCCAATAACCACGTCAGTGACGACACAACACTCATCGCGACGATTCTCGAAAATTGGCAGTCCGAGGACACCATAATTCGCGACGTAATCGCCGGTCATAGGTGGGACGACCCCGCGCGGAAAGCTAAGGACACTAAATCGGGAACAAACGCATACGTTTTTTCCGAAGGTCTCTTACGCGTAAACTTAGACCCCCACACACCCGTCGTGATACCAAAAACCAAAGCACAACATGCAATTTAGGGGTGTCACGACCACGTCTTATCCAACCACCCAGGTTGGAAGGAGACGTACCGGGCGGTCCGACAACGGTACTATTGGAAAGGTAAAAAAAATGACGTCAGGTTATATGTCGGTGCGTTCCACGTATGTGCGTGCACGAAACCACTAAACTCACGTCCCACCGACCCAATGCAACCAAGAACCCCCCGACAACCATGGGAAGTTATCAGTGTCGATCTCATGGGCCCATACCCACGCTCTGGTAAGGGAAAATCGTACATACTGGTAGCAACCGACTGTTTTAGTAGGTGGACCGAGGCTTAAACCTTAGGAACAGCAACCTCTAAAACAATAATCGAAACTTTGGAACGCGAGTTCTTTTCGCGTTTTGGTTACCCACGCGTGTGTCTCAGTGATAACGGCCCACAGTTTGTGTCAAACGAAATGATAAATGCGTTAGAACGCTGGGGGGCACAGGGTTGGACGACTCCGGTCTACCACCCGAGGGCCAACCCAGTCGAACGCCGTAATCAAGATTTAAAAAAACCACAAGTTTTCTCTTGTGTAAGTGTTACCCTTTCACACAACCACCAAACTTCAACGACCGGCTTATCGCGACCATTCCATCACCGCCGAAGCCTCGTAAACAGGACCAGAAATCGAAGAAATAACTAAAGTAGCAAACGAAATCTTAAACACAACCATTACATGTTCAAACCTCTTCACATCACCTGGAACAGTACAAAAGATAATCAGTAAGCTCCCAAGGAAAAAAGCGCCGGGTGAGGACCAAATTAACAACACTGCACTCAGATTTCTCCCATTAAACAAAATTTTAACACTTACACGAATAATTAACAGTTGTCTGAGGATAAGCTATTTTCCAATGAAATGGAAAAATGCTATCATCATCTCGATCCCCAAACCCGGAAAAGACCATAAAAAGCCAGAGAACTATAGACCGATCGCACTTCTATCATCAATATCTTAAGTATTCGAAAAAGTAATCCTAGAAAAACTCCGAAGTGAATGTACCGGGAAAATCAATAATAATATCAATAATATCATCAAATATACTTGGTAATATCCTAGGCTAACTGACACGAAGCCCCCGGGTTTGACGTCATCCGACAGGCCTTGCGGCCAGTCTTCCGACTACAACTACGGACCTTATATTAGCACTAAGTGCTAGTCAAGGGCCGTAGAGGCATACGACCGCCAACCGACGGACCCTCACCACACTGCTGCATGGCCGCACCGGAGACTGACGACCGCACGTCGTCTAAGGACCACGAGCACCGGACGCGCACGGAGGTGTTCCCCGGCGCGCCCGTACCATCCGGCTAGGGCATACAGGTGCCTTTCGCCACCTTGGTGGGGCCGCAATCTATCCACTTTGCTTTCCGTTTTTGGTCACGGACAACCTTCGCTGCATATAGCTCCAACGATAAGCTGGGTGAGCGCTAAGGAGGGACCGTGCTTTCTCGGCCGACTGTCGCCGTACGGGTCCGCCCGGCACCATCACTCGGCATTCGGCAACTTTCCCCTGACCAAGCGTGTGGTCTATTACCACATAGTATGCTCCTGCAAACTGCCACTCCGAAACCAATCCGCCGTCGGTCGAGGCAGTGTACACCACGACCGACGTGTGAGGGCTCGGTGTTAATCTCTCAACAACGAGGGGCCCCCTCACATCCCGAAGCACCATTCTCGCTCCCCGTTAGGTGAAGCACATCATTGGTGGGATTCTCGGACGAAGCTTCGTCGGCGGCTAGCCTCAGCTTATGGTCCTACCGAGATTCGGGCCGTGTACCACGGGCTCACGGTGGGCCCAGCTACGCCTCCCAGAGGCCTCACCAGGTGACTAAGTCCAGTGACCGACCCACTCTTCTCGAGGTCGCGGTTAGAACCTCGATTCACGCCACCAAGGCGCCACCAGGCGGTTAAGCCCAGTGACCGACCAGCTCTTCACGAGGTCGCGGTCAGAACCTCTCAACGCCCTAGTCCCGGAAGGTTTCGGTGCGTCCGCGCCCCGGGCGCCGGCCCCGACTGGCCAGTTCCCTTTTAGTCGCCTCGTACGACAAGCAGGGAATACTGAGGTAGAATTCTCCAAGGCCCCCACCTCAGGGCCTAACTCCTCGTCCCAGACGTATGAGCACGTCCCGGGCCAGAACGCGCTTGAGCGTGTTCCTCCGTTTCTGCCTCTTGCGCCCTACGTGCTCATCGGGAACACCCCGAGACTGTGCCTTCCGTCTATTTGACGGGGCGGCGTTCTGGCCCCTAAGGCCATTTGTCCTCAGTTTTCATCGGTCAGATCTGTTCGTCATGGACTCTCTTGCAAAAGTTGCAAGTGCTTCGTATGTTTTCTTGCTTGTGAGGAATGCGCCATCCTCTGGTGGCCATCTGACACCTTAGTGTCTCAGGACTCGTTTAAGTTTCTTCCGGGCGTCCAAGGTTCTAGGACAGAACATCAAAACGTGCTTGATGGTTTCAGGCATCCGGTCACATTCGCATATGGGGTCCGGAGCCAACGTAAGGCTGTGGAGCTTAGCTCTGAAGTCCCCGTGGCCGGTTAAGAACTGGGTGGTCCAGTGGTCCAGATTTATCGGTATGTTGCACCTGAACTTTACCGATGGAATCATCTTCTGAGTCCAACTGCCCTTCTCAGTAGACTCGTATCTGGTCTGCCATTCTGTCATTAAGTCATCAGTCCTGTCTGCGAAGGTTTCCGCAGATATTTTTTGCCTAGAGTGGGCTCTTTTCAGGGCCTGAAATCGTATCTCCAGATCAAGGGGTAGTGTGCCCGCCACTGCGGGGCCAGGCAATTCGTGGATGACGTTACGTATGCGCTCGTGATAGCCAGCAGTGGGCCCTTTGCGCGGAGAGTAACTTTTTCTGGCTCTTTACTAGCTTCGTGCCCTCGAAACCAGATCTCGGCCGCGTAGGTGATCCTTGGCAGGAAAACGCCTCTATATATAGTCCTGGCAGCGATTCTGCCCATTCCCCAGTTCGCCGAGAAGAGGGTCCTAAGCTGATTATACATGGGTTTCGATTTCTGGCAAACGGAGACGACATGATCCCAGTAACTCCGTCTTGGGTCAAGGAGTACTCCAAGATACATCGCTGTGGCCGTCGACGAAATCCTGGGGGCATCCGCTCCAATTCCAAACCCGACGCTGTACCCGGGCTTCAGGCCGCCTTTCAGGGACAAGAGTTGGCTTTTGGCAGCGGAGAACTCGAGCTTCAAATTTGTAGCCCATGATTTTAGGGTTTCGAGTTCCCTTTCTATACGGCGGAAAGCCGTTTGAGGTCTGGCTGCACCAACCATCAGAAGAATTTCATCCGCGTAGGCAATGACCTTTACCGTTCGAGATTCCTTAATTAACTCGAAGATCGGGGTTCCATAGCGTCGGCCCAAGTTGAGAACCCTGAGGGCAACCCCGTTCGAGCGTCCTGCTGTATCTAGTGCCCTCTAGAACGAACTCAGCGGATCTGTTTTTCAGGTAAGAGTTCACTATTCTCTGCGTGCCAACAGATGCACCAAGGAGATCAAGTTGTCTTAAGAGTGGCGACCATTGTACGTTGTCGAATGCGCCGGTGATGTCTAAAAAGACATCAAATATGTGTCTTGCGCTGGACGCATCGACCCAGCTTTAAACGTTTTCAATCGCACTGATGGTGGATCTGCCCATCGTGAAGCCGTGCTGCTCGCTGTAAGAGTCGAGGCTTGTGTCGCGCGTCAATTCGCCTATTATCATAGATTCGAGTGCTTTCCCCAGGACAGGCAGGAGACTAATAGGACGGTAGGACTTCACCTCGCCCAAGTTTTCCTTACCGGGTTTTGGTATTATTATTAGTCTCGCTGCCTTCCAGCATTCCGGGAAGGTCCCGTTCTGAAGGCAGTTCTGAAAGAGGTTCGTGATGATATCCCTAAGTGGCATCCACGCTTTTCTGAGAATGCCTGCTGTGATGCCATCAGATCCGGGAGCACTATTCGTCCTGATCTTCCAGATGGCATTTTTTATAATGTCCGGGCTGAGTTCGTCTTTATACTGAATTGGACCATGAGCTTCGGGTATTTCCCCATGCGGGTCCGGAGGAACAAATGTGCTGAAAACCAGGTCAGCCGTTTCGTGGCAGTTTGTGGTTTGAGAACCATCCGCGCCAGAAAGCGTGCTGGGCATGGAATTGCATGAGTTGCCGCGTTTTGCCCATGAGAAGGCTTTGCCCCACGGGTTCTCATTGAGGTCTCCCGCAAAGCACTTCCATGCGGCCCTTTTGTGATTCCTGGTCTCTGTCAGGAATTCGTTTTTCAGTTTGTTGTAAGCTGGCTTATCGGTACTCATTAGACCGCGACGCTACTGTTGGACAAGGTTCTGTCTAAGAGTGGACAGGACTGGAGACCACCATGGACTTCTGCCCGTTATAGCGGTTGGTCTCTTTTTAGGGATTGACCTATCAGCCGCCGTGGTTATAGCACGGATGATGCCATCAGCTGTTGTGTTTATACTGGTGCTGCTGTCGGGTATGCGACCGATTTCACCGAGTAGAGTGGTCTTGAAGAGATCCCAGTCGGCAGATCTAACATCATACCTAATCTCAGCTGGGACTCGCTCTACCGGCTTTTTCACTGCCAGTCTGAAACTAATGACACGGTGGTCACTGTCAGTCAAATCTGTGACTGTCCAATCTTTGACGAGACTGGCCGTGTTGGCTGTAGACATCGTGACATCTATATTAGATGTTCGTCCATCACGGCGGCAAAAGGTGTTTATCATGCCGGGACAGTTGTGAACGATAAGGCCATGTTTTCCTATGAATTGTTCTACAATCTTTCCTCGGCGGTTTCATTTATTTGAGTGCCATAGATCTGAATGGCCATTAGTATCGGCACAGATCACAGTCCTTTTTTCCTTTGCAATGATATGTTCTAGTTGCTCAACGTGAGCAGTTGTCGGCAGACTGTATTTAAAGTAGGCCGAGGCTAGCACGACGTGATCGTTATTATCGCTATCATAGGCGACTTTGATGGCGACAATATGACTTGACGAGAAGTTACTCAGTTTAAGCGCTTGGTATCTGTTAGTGAATGCAATTATTGCGGCGCCATTACTTTTACTGATATGCGATCTACAGCTCTCAAAGGCGTAAACCTTCCCGCTGATGACTAGTGGCTCTTGGATCAGTAAGTAATCAATTTTGTTCACTTTACAGGCTTCCCGTAGTTGATGACTCGCAATTGGTTCACGTTATGCTGGTATATTTTAATGTGAGTACTCATTTTGGCCAGTAATTGCGAAGTCCGTTCGACGGAGGAGATTTCTCATAGCTTTAGTTTTAGCCAGGCAGTTAGCCGAAGAAGATTTTTGCTTTTACAGTTTGCACATTTCATTAATTCCTAGTCACAATTTCGGGAGTCGTGCTTTCCAGCGCAGTGTTTGCAGATTGGGTCATCTGAACGGCAAGTCTTGGCCGTATGGCCATATCTTTGGCAGTTGTAACACTGAGGGAGGTCATTATGAGGTTTCATTCTGCATTTTGTTAGTCCTAAGTAAACTGTCTTTCTCTCGAATTTACAGAAGGTCTCAGGGCGAGTTTCAATAACCCAATTGACTGTGGGCCTGTCTCGGGGACCCGTTCGGAATAGTGGTCTGATACTCTCAGTATCTTCTGTGGAGAGACCTAGATCCTCATTCAGGTTAGCTGTGTATCCAGCAAGGAGTTCCTTTTCTAACTCTTTGTCCACTCCAACCACGAGGAGTCTAGGGAGGAAAGGTTTCCTCTCCACTAATTTGTTCGTGCGCCTTAGAGCATTCAAGGATACGGAGTCCTCCGGAAAAAGGATTATTCCGTCCTTATTTTTGGATATGCGTATGCGGGGACAGCTTAGTTTCTGTTCTACCGATTTTCTGACTTCAAGCCAGGCGTTATTTCCACCCACTACCTCAAAGCGAGTGTCAGCCTTAGCGCTCTTGGCTTTGTCGAGAATTTTAGTGCTAGTTTGAGCGACTGTGGACTTTGTGGCCGTATCGGTTTTCTTGTTAGCTTTGTCGTGATTGACCCCGAATTTCGTGATGGGTTTTGCCGCACCCAGCCTACTCTTAACAGATACGTTTTTTCCTGCTCTGAGCTGCGGGAATTCTTCCCGTGTTTTATTTTTGCGAGCCCTCGATCTGGCAGCAGCAGCATCAGCATAAGAGGCGCCGGATGGACTTACTACCATGATTCTGTCATCATCTAAATCGACATATTCAATGGGTGGCGGTATAAGCCTGGTTGACGTACTTAACGGCTGGGGGGCAGAACTGCCGGACGCACGGAGGGCTACCAATTCCGCCTTAGCACTGTCTCTGTCAGCCTGGCACTGACTGTAACGTTCCTTAAGAGCCCCCATATCGCTATGGAGGTCATTCATATGCTCCTGAAGCGCGTGGAGTTCGCTGCGCTGTTCTTCCCACATTCCAAGGACTCTATAGCTTGTTCGAGCAAGACGGTTGTTGCTAACGAAGATTTCGTCAAGCTGGAGACCGATGGTGCTTTGCCATCTTCTAGCTACCTTTGTCTGTGTAATCATGTCTTCGAGGATCGCTCGGGTGTCATCAATTTGCGTGCTTACCTCGTCCGAGTACTTCTCAATGTCCACAGCGTGCGTACTCAGAGAGCCACTCGGGTCGGGACTGAGGTCATCCTCGGCGAGTTTTTTACGTTTACCTTGGAAAGTCGGCGTGTTAAAGGCCGAACCGAACTCTCCGGTTTTGTCCGTCAATTTTGGTCAGATTAGGGTCATTTGTGTATGTCAGATTTTTGCCCGAAGGCGCGTCGGTTTGAGTTCTGCCCGAAGGCACGTCAGCCAGGCTGCGCAGCTCTGGCCGGTTGACGAATACTGATGGACCCCCCCCCCCCCCAAAAATCCATGGGTCCATGCCTCCGCCGAATGTGAATTATCACTTGGGGTAATATATTTTAGGTCAGTATTCATCCTCGATTTGTCCGGGTGGCCTTCCCTGCGTTTTACCTACCGCCAGGTAAGCCCTGTTCCCTCTGGCATACGTCGGGCTAAGCGTATGTTGCATCCGTAGGTCTGCCTGGTCGAGGTGTGTCCGTGCCGGTGCCTGGCGCCTACGACCGGAGTTGCCAACCTCCGGAAATTCTCCCGACCACAAACGGCTAAGTCCACGGCCTTGCTTGACCACCCGAGAACTGGCTAAGGTCCCCGGGCGATCCCCCAGCTAAGGCCCGTTTCACAGCGACGCGTTCGTACGCGCGCGTTTTATACGCCGCGTACAGAAATACATTAAACAAATGGAACGTTACACAGCCACGCGTACATCTGCTCGCGTTTTATTGTCGGTGCGTTCGCTACGAGCCATACGCGTGGATCGTCGGTCGAGCGTTCGTACGCTCGACCGACCATGCATTGACAGGTTATGACATGTTCACAGCGGCGCGTTCCTTACGCGGCGTTTATGAATTTGTAAAATATTATTATGTTCATTTATCGTTCATCTATCGACGGAGAACAAGTTTTAAAGTTTTAACAAATTTAAAAAAAATGAATATTGACACCGAGATTCTCATCAATGAAGTGGAAGCCCGGAAAAATTTGTGGGACGTTGGTAATGAGTTTTATAAAGACCGCGATATGCGGATGGCGTCTTGGCAAGAGATTGCCAAAACCGTAGTTAACAATTTTGAAAATATGTCCGAAATTGAAAAAAAAAAAGCTGGTAAGTTATAACTACAGTTATAAAGTAAAGTGTACCTATTAGATGGTAGGTATTAAATAATTCTCCAAGTACATAATATGGTTAATATTCACGTTTTACTACTGTATAACATGTTTTCCAGAAAATTCTCCATTTTATATTAATTAACTATTTGTACGTAATTCTTGTGAAAAACAACTATTCATATTTTTAATATTTATGTTAATACTCTGATTAGTTTTTTATTAATTGCATAATTATATACAGATCGGTATAGTTAATACAGAAATAATATAATACTAATCCTAAGAACTATGTAGTTATTATTAAATTATATAGGCATAACAAAAGACATAATATGAGTACTACTTCATACTACTACACTACTACATCCATAACTAGTATATTTATTATACTACTTATTAGCACCAACATTAGCTGATACTTTACAAAAAAACTGTTATATTTGAATGTATCTTACTATAGGTATAGTTAAACAAGTTTATTATATTAATTTAATAAGTAAAATAAAAAATGATATTATAGTAATAACTAATATGGTAGGAAAAAAAACAAATTTAATGTATCATCTTATCTTGCCATTCGACTTTTCCTTCGTCAGTCAAAAAATAATTTGCAAACATGTCTCTGATTGTATTGCCGGATCTGTTTTGTGTATCTATTGTATCATTTGAAGTTTCAAAACCTTGTATACTCAATGTATGGGCAAATTGATATCCATCTCTTACACGAACAAAGTTGTGAAGTACACAACAAGCTTTTACGATTTTTGTTGAAAGTTCAACGCTTGTATTCATCGGTCTATGAAAAATCCTCCATTTGTTGGATAAAATTCCAAAACTTGATTCAATATACCTTCTAGCCCGTGATAGACGGTAATTAAAAATTTTTTTTTTATAATTTAAGTTACTTCTAGCATATGGTCTTAAAATAGTTTTAGAAACTCCAAAAGCTTCGTCGGCTAAAATAACGTAAGGTAAAGGACCATTCTCGTTATCTCCTGGTAGAGGTTTGGGTTTAGGTATAGATAATGTTTCATTTTCAAGTTTTTCAAAGAATTTTCCATTTTTGAAGACAGACGAATCACTAAATTTTCCATATGCTCCAACATCAACAAATGTAAAACAATAATTTGCATCACAAATTGCCATCAACACTATAGAATAATAATGTTTGTAGTTATAAAAAAGTGAACCGCTTTTGATAGGCTTAATAACGCGAATATGTTTCCCGTCTAATGCACCGATGCAGTTAGGGAAATTAGTATTTTTTTCAAAATCCAAAGAAATTTCTCTCCATTTTTCTTCCGTAGGTAGAGGTATGCATTCAGATTTCATTTTCCAAATTTGTTCACATACATCCTCAACGATACCACTAATTGTAGATATTCCCATTCTATATGAATACTGTAGATCAGTAAATGTATTACCTGATGCCAAGTACCTTAAATAAAAAAAACCAGTGTTTCAATTACCTATAAATTAAATATAATATTTTGAAACGTCTATAAAAAACATTTTGACTGGCCAAAAAGTTTTGAAAATTTGTGCATATATTACCATTAAAAAAAAATCAAAAATCGTAGATCACAATTTTTTTTATAAGCATAGAAAAAAACTATAGAACTAAATCATAAAATTTTTTTTTTTAATTATCCGTTAATTTTCCAGCTATTTATAAGCATTTGAAATATTCGAATTTTTTGTGTTTTTTTTTTTTATAAATTTCGATAATGTAAATTGAAAGTTAATATTAAAAATTTAATTTAAGGTTGTCCACAAGTTTTTCTTACAATAATTTAAAAAAAAAAAACGAGCGGAAGTCAATTAAAACATTTGTACGATAGTAAACATTTTTATTAATGCATTTTTAAATTCATGCCTAAAATTACGGTTTAATATTAAACGGTTTTAGATATACAATAAATAAACTCCGCCTCTACTATACAGCAGAGCGAGTTCTCAATTTTTTGTGTATTAATATAAATAGGTACTTACAGAAATGTATTTAATAAAATAAAATTATAATTACAACAGTTGTTATTTTGTTTATTATATTTATTTAGTACCTATATTATTACATTTTTTGCCTACATATTATAGTTGATAAAGTCCAACAAAGGTGGAAAAGTGTAAGGGATGCAAAAATTAGATCAATGGCAAACAAAAAACTATTGAAGTCTGGATCAGCTTCCAAAAAAAAAAGGGAATATGTTTATGATAAACAACTACAATTTCTTGAATCCTTGGTAGAACCAAATAGGTAAGTAAACAAATTTAAACAATTTGTTATGTAATCAAGCCCGGATTAAGGAACAATTGGGCCCCGGGACACCATACACCCTTTCAACTTTAACTTCAAAATAATTGTAACATATTAACGACTTTATATTATTATATAATTCGTACTACCTATACAAAAAATATACAGAGTGTATCTTATGTCATTGTACCCAGGTTTTTTTTAACAATTATTATGAACCAATGCTATGAAATTTCGTTAACACAAAAAAGACGTGTTTTTTTGTAACAGGTAATTTTTTTTATAACATTTTCAAAATTTTTAAACACTCAGTTCATCAATAGCAAAATTGACTATATTTCGAATGGTAAAATTTTTTCCTGGACATTTTGAATCTTAAATTTTGGTTCTCTAATTTATTAACTAAAGTCCTCTAAAGTTTAGTATAATATGCATTAATACTTTTAACTGAAATACCGAATTACAAGAGCTAAATAGTTGTTTCTTATAACTACCTTTTTATACACTTAAATAGTTAAATTGGTAATCTAAAATGCTAAAATGCTAAAAAAAACATAAAAACAAAATTGTTTGAAAACATAGTTCATAATTTATGGTAATTTTTGGTGATATAAAAATATTGAGTATAATTTAATTTTATAATTATTAGATAATAATAACTTACCTACTATAATATACTTAAATTTTTTTTTTTGAAAATTGTTTTAGACGGATGCCTTAAAAAAATATATTTTAAGCATAAAAATGGGCCTCCAAAATCAATGTCCCCTCCCCCTACCCTTAATCCGGACTTGTATGTAATCTATAATACAATTTGTATTATCTAATTTACTGTTTCCAATGTAACGTATAGAACAGAATCAAACCTCGATAATGATGATGATGATAATATTGATGTATGTGAAGAAGGTAATCAAAGAGAACACGACGTAGATGAAGAAGAAGAATTATCAACATGCAACACAAATGATCCATGGAAAAGAAAAAAAAACACTGGACCCAAGAAGCAAAAAACAGATGCATTCGAAGAAGAATTTTTAGAAGCTTTAAGAAAAAGCTCAGAAGAAGACGAAGATAAATCTTTTTTGGATTCATTATTGCCTACCCTAAGACAATTCAATAATGATCAAAAATTGATTTTTCGATCTAGAGTGTTGGCAATGATGATTGAAGTAAAAAATTCAGGTACAATTCAAACTTATCCACCAATGTCAACTCCAACATATTTGAATTATCCACCCGGTCTACCTCATCAAGAGTTTCATAGTTTGCAATCAACGGATCCGATGCCATTAAATACTTCTGCTAACTGGCAAATGGTACAAAAGTCTAATTTATAAAATTATTTGTTTTATTCTATTATTAAGTATTTGTTTTACAATGCATAAATATGTAAAAGTTGTATTTTTATTTTTTATTTTATTTATATATATTTAAAAGTTATATTGTTTTTTTAAAACTATTCTTGAATACTTGTGTACATTAGAAGCATTTGTATATGATTTTTATTTACACATTTATTTGTTTTATTCTATTATTACTTATTAGGTATTTTTTTTACCATTTTTCATTAAAAACATTTTAAAAATTACAAAGAAGTAAAATTTATTTTATTTATATATATTTAAAAAAGTTATATTGTTTTTTTAAACACATTTATGTATTCTATGAGTTTTTTTTAGTAAAATTTATTGGAAAAATGATAAAATATAGTATTTAAAATTGTATAATCACATCAAATTATTATACTTAGGAAATCAATTAAATTACCTAATTTGTAACATTTCCTTAGGCATTTACTGACTTACTGTCCATGGGAAAAAAATACTGAAGTTTTGTAGTTAAATAAAATAAATTACTATGGTTAATATTGTCCAAATAACTAAATTATAATAAAAAGAGTACCAAAGTGTATATAGTACATAACACTATATATTTAGTCTGGTTAATTATAAAATCACAATTTTAATAAATTTGACTAACATTGTATTTAGCTAGTATCCCTATAGCAATTGAAAATAGACACTTTGGGTTAAAGGTTGCAATTTGATAGCATTTGTTACATAAGTATTTAGTAAGTATATTATTTATTATCGTAATTATTGAATTTAATTTAATTTCAGTACAAAACTATTGCATAATTATAATTATTTATTTAGACAATAGACATATAGCTAAATTGTTAACAATATATACGTACCTTAATGTCACACATAATCGTTCTGTAGGTGAAATTGATGGACGACCACTATTTGAAACTTTAATTCCACTTTCTAATTTTGAGAGAAGTTCGTCAAATGACTTGATGGACATCCGAAAATAATTAAAAAATTTATTTTCATTGTCTCTTAAATCCCCGTACATGGTTGAAAAACTTCCTTTTAAAATTCTTTGCACAAGTAAAGGATGAACCCACATTCTCCGCTTTTTTAATTTACGGTTTTTTCTTTTTTTTATAATATAATAAGCTCCATAGAGTAATAACACACGTGTATTCATTTTTGGAAGACTACTGACGTCTGACGCACAAGTACACAACTGACTATTATTTCTATTTCGTCGATTACTAAACGCTTCAAAAATACGCGTCGATGTGAAAACAAAATACGACGCGTAAAAAACGCCACGTATCGGCGTTTTTATACGCCGCGTACGAACGCGTCGCTGTGAAACGGGCCTAAGGATTGACGCCTGTACTCACGTCCGTGACGGCCCTCAGACCCTGAGGTCAGGTTACGCCCACGATTCCTGCCAGTCAAAGGACACTGCAGCTGACTGGTGGTGTATCGCGGGTTGCTCCCAACCCGAGGTATAGGCGCGCCGCTCGCGAGAGCACGACTTGGCGCCACGTAACAGCTCACGCGACGCCTGGGGTCCGTCACAACTAGTTTAAACGGACCCGATTTTGAAAACCTCTTAGCGGCCGACCCATATGTCGGCCGGGCGGGATCACCACGTCAAGGTGGGTTTTCATCGATCCCGCCTAGGCTAACTGACAGTCTCCACTCAGAATCATTTTTCTTATACAATCATATTATATCATTGAATTCAAATTTAATACCATCCATTATTATACAGTGACCCACTTATAACCTACTGTACAGCAGAGCACCTTTTTTTTCTATGAAAGTCAATAAAACTTAATTTATTAGGTAAAAAAGATTGACAAGGCTTCTACTATGTTGTTAAAATGACATTTGAAATATATTAAAAATCCTTAGTCACAGTTTTTTTTTTGTAAGCATTTAAGGTTCAAGTTTAAGGTTCGACAAAAGCAAATTATAATGAGTGAGGAACTCATAAAAATTTTTCTTTTTAAATCTAAGATTTTAAAATTGTATTATTAGATTCCTCATAAGGTTGTCTACCTTAATCGAAAAAACATCTATAAGCAAATCAAATTACATTTTTATGATTGTTTGATGTTCATATTTTTACAAGATTGGACATTTAGTATTTAGCTCCATTTATCATCTTGTAGCAATTTTGTTATTTTGTTGTAATTCAAAAACAAATGACTGTAAATACATGAAAATTGTACTGAATGTTTATATTTTCATTTTCTATACAATAAACAATTTTTTAAATATGTTGACTATTTTTTTTTATTTCTGTTAACCTATAACTATTCTATATATATTATACAGGGGTGGCTTACGTATCTGATTGAAATGGTGGACACACGCATCGCCGTTTAATTAATTAGTTAATTAATTATTAAATAATATTATGTCCAATGTGATATTGTTATTATTTGTAATTATCTTAACCAATATTATGCATCACATGCGTTACATAGTGTAAGCATAACCCCAAATAAGGGGGGGCTTTACGGGCTAAGCACCCCAAAAATACCCATAGCCCCCAAACATTTCCAAAATTTTGTTTTAAGCTTATTAAATATAATCAAAGTAAGGCTTTAGAACCCCCCCCCCCCCTCCACCATATCTCAATATGAGTGTAGACGTGTAGGTCGGTACACCGTAACTGAGCACGCATCTTGGCCATTTTGTAATATATCACTTTCACTTGGCATGCGAGGTTTTTTTAAGCACCCTAACACCACATATCATTTTTGTTATTGAAATTACAATATATTATGTTACTTAAGTTAAATAAAAATATTATTAGACAAGAACTAATCACCTAATAAAAATAATGATATTAATTAATGCATACAAACATCGTCGTTGTCGGTATTAAATGTATAGGTTATAAATTAAATGTAAGGTCATGTGGGGTAAGAGCCTAACGGGGCTAGTACCTAATCGGGTTATAAAAAATACAATCTTTCAATTTTAAAGTTGATTTCTTGAAGATTACGAAGTTTAATAGTAATCGAATGTTGTATAATGTTGGTTACACTTTAGGATATCAAACATAGCAGTTATTACTATAATTATTTTAATTAATAAAATATTTATGTAATCCTAATATATAAAATGACAAGGAAATCAGCTGTCTACAAGCAACACGTGGAACGGAAAACGCAGGCTATAGTGAAACCGCGGAGTAAAAAATGAAGCACCGCTCCGTTTCCCCAGCCCGCCGGCCATGTCCCGTCGATTCCTTATAGCGCGACCAATCGCGTACCTTCGCAGCGGCGGCGGTCGGTTTTAAAACGTTTTCCGTTATCACCTCTTTTCCTATTATTCGCCGATTTTTGAAATTTTCGGAAAATTAGCTGTTTTTACACGATTTCGACCCTTTTGGTCCTTTTTTATACTTAATTCGAAGCCGCCGGTGTGCGGTTTATATTCGTGCGCTGTCCGAAGCGGTCGCAATATCGATCGAAAAATACACTCCCGACCGGACTTTTTTGCAGATTTTTTCCTTTTCTCCCACCGTTTCGTCTATTCGCACGCCGTTTGTGCCCGAATCGTGTAGTCGACGTCTTTTTAAAGCCGTTTATATGGGCTTTTCCCCCGAAATCGGTTCGTTCGCCTCGCAATCGCGTTTATAAATTACGCCGGCGACCGACCGACCGTACGCGTATATACGTGTATAATTTAATTTTTCCCTATGATTTAATAATTATTAACGAAAAACGCTTTTCACACGCCCCGTTAAATATATATATGGGAGATGCGCGTATTACCAGCTAATTATATGCGATTACATCGATGTACATCGAATATATCGGTTTACGTCGCTCCGTAGACGCACGGCTTAAGTCTTGATGTTTTGACCGTATTTCACATATCAAACTGTGTCCAAGTAGGTTAGGCGTTAGGTAGGAGACACGTAGGTCCTGACTCCTGAGTTCGAATCCGTCGTGCGCTCGCCGGTCGTCAAAACCGCCGTGGCCATATGGTTTACACGGCCCCTCGAAACTCGATTTTTTTCGCATTTTTTTTTCACTATATTTTTCATATAAATTAAATAATAATACAGGAACACATTTATCGTACATTATTATTATTTAATTTAAAGTCATTGTCATATTATATCATATTATATCACACAATAAATAGGTACATGTTATATTTGTTTTATTAGGAATTATTATAATTGCATATTTTTTAAAATTTCCATGATTGTTATATGAATATAGTTTGTATTTTATTTCGGATTGCCTACCTAGGTGGCTAACTTGAAAGTTAATTTGATTTTGACTTGAGATGACTGACTTGCTAGACACTCCAACACGGTTTTCGACTTTACACTTTTTACATAAGAAAAGGCACCGGACATGTGAAGGCACATACCACTCAATGTGATATACCTACTACATGTAGGTGATAGACGGATTGCTCATTTTAGTTTCGTCTTAAACGGTGATGATTGACTTGATAGACACTTTAACATGCAGGTTTTTGCATTTTTTTTTAAAATTAATATATGTATATACACTATAGGTTCATGTTTATATGTATTGTATTGGTTAATATAATAGTGTGTATCTAACTATCTACCTATATGTAATTTTTTTTTAGGAATTATAATAGCACATTTCTCAGAATGTTCATTGTTATATTATATCACACAATAAATACATATCATATTTGTTGGTATGTATATTGTATTTAGTTTGCATTTTTCGTAAACTATTTCGTAAGTTGTGTGATAGGGTTTTCACTTATAGCCGCTTGACGTCGGGTCTGCAATCCACCGCAGGTGGATTGCCTACCTGATTGGCTGTAGCACATTGTCCGCGATCCGACGAAGTTAATAGATTTTAACTTGAGATGACTGACTTGCTAGAAACTCAAACACGGTTTTCGACTTTACACTTTTTACATAAGATAAGGCACCGGTCATTCTACGGCACATACCACTCTATGTGCAGATATACTCTATATCGGTGATCTTGGAGATCGTATCCAGCCTATCCATTTACAACGTTTGTGACGGATTGCTAGACGCTCAAACTTTAAACATTCCCGCCAAAGCGTCTAGCCTTATCTCCAATCCATATCACTAATCCTTATCACAAATCCTAAACTTTCGTCTTACAACCTTTGCGACTTTTATAATTTATTGTCTCCAAAATCGGTACCTACTCCCAGCGAGTCCGACGGGCCCCGAGTTACACTTAGAGCTAGTAAGTATATAATATATATAATATATATATATGTATTGAATTGTACGTATCTAATATATTTTTTGACCGGGATTGAAGCGTTGAAATGCGACCATTTTCCGTCTAGCAGGACGTTAAGTATGAATGGTCATCCTCAGAGTGCCGTGGAAAAAAGTGGAAATCCTCATAAGTGCTAGGCTCGTATATCACGCGTATTCCATGCACAACCAAACACTGAAATCTGTACCACGTTCTTTACAAAGCATAAACTTTTGGTTACCTACATCTTAATATCTTATATAAATATTATAATCTCCTTGCATGACTCGTAAACATTTTTATTTCATGAAATTGTTTTCGTAGAATAATCTGATTGTTGCATATATTCCTATGTAGTGCTTTACGTTTGCTGTGATTACATTTCTTTGTGTGTCGCGTTTGGTATAGTCTATAGGTAATATAAAACGGGTATAACGCGATTGTTGGCGCCAGCCTAAGTTTGAATGTCCCGCCAACGAAATTAAGAGTGTTTAATGTGATAGCGGTAGTCGGCATAGGTATGGTACGACTGCACTGTTATCAACACAGCTGTGCGTCGGCCGTTCTGTACCGCCGTTATAAATGTGTGATAGCTGGTGTGTTTAAAATTTTTGTTTGTGTGTATTATAAAGTTGATATTATTCCCTTGTATTTTATGTAAAAGTGCAAATCATGTAGTCAGTGGCACCGTATTTATGTTAAAAGTTGTATTTTGAAGTGTAATTGTGGTACATGACAATGTATAAATAATGTTTGTGGTTTAATTTTTGTTCATCATTTTTTGTGGTTATATACACAGCAGATGTCCGTCAACTGCAAGTTCCATGTTTTTTTAGTGTTATTTTGAATTCACGTTTTCGACTGTCATCGAGGCCAGCTCAGTGTTATATGTTGTAGTGTGGACTCTACAGGTGGTATCGTGAATTATGTTAATTTG